TTTATATAACTTCACATAAGTAGCATAATAATACAAAAATTCAATATGTAGTTGTCGAACAAGGTACAAATATAGATAAAAAAATAAATATTCAAAGATTATAAATGTTAAATGTATCTTAATATAATAATTTTCTAAACTAAAATTCTTAGAAACAATAAGCAAAACTAAACACACAAGTTATTTGTCAGTGATAATCCTATCTTGTGTGAGATTTGATTGTTGGTAATGTCAGAACGACAACGAAATAGATCTGTACAATAGTTGTCCCTTCGTGTGGGATCACTTAGTAACTTTTTGTGACGGCATTAACAACTAATTCTAATGAATAACATTTCATAGTTATTAAGTTTTAGTAAGACAGACATTGAGAATGAGAATAGAGTTAGAGTAGAAAAGTTCAATATTAACAACAGAAAGTTGATACATAAAATATTTTTTTTAACTTTTGAATTTGAAATTGTAAGAAAAATAATAGATTTAATTAAAATAATATAATATAATTAATATATATATATATATATATATTAATACTAGTATTTTTTAACTTATATACTATACGAAAGTATTTTATCAAAAGTATAAATTTTTAAAAAATTATTTTAGTGAATTAAATATTTATAATGTATATAAATTTAAAAAAAAAAGAATCTGAATAAAAGATAAATAGTTACAATAAAATTTTATAATAAAGAAATATACGTGTATATTAAAAAAATTAACAAATAAAAATTAACAATAATTTTTTATATTTATATCTTTTCAAAAACTTCTTTGAATGTGAATAAATAGTAAGAATAATATTATTTAGATTCAATAGATTATAGTTGTGCTTGTAATACATATGTTACATAGAAAAATATTATTTTAAATTAAAATATAAAAATAAAATTTAAATATTATTAATAAATAATAAGTTTACGGTAATAGTAGGTGATTGTAAAATTTATAAAATATTTATAATATATTTATTATTTATCATTCACTTTATGATTTAAACATCAATATGATTTTATTAACAAAAATATTTGTGTAAAAAATATTTTATGTGTGTCATATATAAATAATATTTTTAAAAAAAGTCAATCTTATATTAACTATGTAATAATTAAATTGTGTTAGCCTAATTAAATGATATAAAATAGTAAATAAATTTTTCTATTAAAAATATAAACCAAAATAAATTTTTTGGTTTACTTTATTATTAAATATATTTTTATATTAATCTTATATAACTTCACATAAGTAATATAATAGTACAAAAATTCAATGCATAATTGTAGAATAAAGTTCAAGCATATATATATATATATATATATATGCAGGTATGGGGCGGGGTGAGTACTTAGATACCCATCCTCATTAAAATTTGCGGGTTTTTACCCACACCCATACCCGTATCCGTATAGCGGATAAATACCCTACCCATTATGGGTAAATTTTACGGATGCCCATCGGGTACTTTACCTATTGCCATCCCTTTCGTGCCTTCTTTAGATCTCTACTCCTGCTTGAATACATTAACGCGAAGGGACGCGCAGTCTCGTTTTTCTTTGGCTTAATTTGCAGATAGAAGTTCACGATTGAAGAAATGTTATGGTTGGTGATCAGTTGAAATTAATTGGTAAGTATTTCATCTTTAAAAATCACATTGTTTTATATAATATGGAAAACGCTCAAAGGTGGGATCACACAAATGAGGTTGTCAATTTTCATTATCTAAATTTTGTCCTTCGGCAATATTGTCAAACTATCACTTTGCACAAATTACTACATTTACAAAGTATAATGGATCAAGTAAAATCCATTATGTGAGGAAAGCCATTTGCATACTCTGTGTGTGTTTCATTTTGAATAGATCGATCCTAACTTACATTTAGTCTAATGTAGATTTTTTTTTCAGAAAATAATAACATAATCTCTTAGATTTAATTTTATATAAATAAAAATAGTAAATATCTATTAAAAATTGTATCAAGATTACAAAAGTAATAATTTTTGCAAAAAAAAATCTATTTTAAAATATTTAAAATTAGTCTTAAGACCAATGTTACTACAATATATATATATATAGTTTCTCCTTAAATAACGACTTCCCAACTCGTGATTAGACAGTCATATTTTCGGTAAATAAATCTATGCAAGGTTCGAGTCTTTAGTAGAATAGTTTCAATATTCCGATTGAGATTAATTAGCCTTAATTAATTCAATGCATGAGGTAAGAAAATGAGAGATAACCGAACAAAACTAAAAAAATATCCTCAATTCATATAAAGACGTATGTAAAAATTCAATGCATATATGTTACTTTCTTGAAGATCGAGGTTTATATGAGATAATGGTCAAATGTAAAACATTATTTCTACTGTACTAGTTGATCTAAGACGATAGATTAATATATATTGGTAATGCGTTAGAAATATATATTAATAACAACTAGAACTGCTAAAAACTGAAACGGCAGAGAAATTTAAGTTAAAAAAGGCTTGCAAAACAAAAAGAAAATAACATCACCAATCAGGTTAACATTGAAGATATATGCAACATACTGAAGCTATGAGTCTCCAGATTCTGGGGACTTTAGTAGTAGAAGAAAATTAATAACCAGAACCGTCAACAGATACAGATCCGAACATTAAAGGCCACTGAAAATTATTTTGTAGACCAGAGAGATTAGCTACGCAAGAAGATAAAAGAAAAAGACGTAGAATAACAAATTTAAACCTTCTATTCTATCTCTATTAGACATACACATTCTTTTCTTTATAAGCTCTGTTGGACATAGATATAAGTGAAAAAGTTTTCCAATATATCTCCACGTTAGAATTACTGAATCTGATTGACCAATTAAGTCCACTAAAATATATTATTAAAATTTTTAAAATTTAATACCGACTTAATTATTAGAAGAATTTTTTTGACCTAATTTGCCTTAATTTTTTAATTAAATTTAGATTAATTTTTTAAGTGTAAAATATAATTTTGAATTAGATATAAATTTTTTATTTTATAGTCTAAATAAGTAGCATACATTTTATACTTGATGGAGTTCCAAGCCTTAACCTAACTGATCTTAATAAGAATAAATAACTTAATTTAACACTCCAACTTCACATGAGTAATTTTAAGATATACGCGTTAAATTTTTTATGTTTAAATAGGGGTTTCTTAAGATTATTTTTTTCATGTTATGGAATGAGAATTATAATTGTAAAATAACTTTGTATATTTTTTATAAACTAGAAATAGATAAAAATAAAATAAAATATGATAAATAATATGATAGAGAAACAATAACATTAAAAATTAAGTCTTATTTCGTTTGATGAAGTTAGTTATATAAATCATATAACACTGTTAAGTTTGATTAAAAATTAAATTCTTTAGCTATAAATTTCATTTGGTGCATAATTACTTATTTAATTAATTCCTCATGCTCAGGGGAAGTTGAATCCTCTACAATGACAAAATTATGAGAACGATGCTGCTAAAAATATTCCCTTGCACAATATATATGTATCCATAATTATCTCCTGTATAACTTGCTGGGTCAAATCCACTCCACATGAATCATTATCATTCTATGTAAACCCTATCATTACAACTATTTCTGTGGCATATTTCGACAACAATAAAATTAACTTTTTTTATATTATATGTATGATACTTCTCTTTAAGGATCCCGGTCTATGTAAGCTTACCTTTTCCCCCTTTTAAAGTTCTATGCACGATGATATATACGCGGCTCAACAAGATCACTGTGTTAACAAACGTGGTGGTCCACCCAATTTGAAAGCACATAACCATGCTTAGTTAATTCCAGAACACCTTTTTTTTTTAATTCTATATTGAATATTGATTATTATATTTCTCCTTTTTCTTAGCGTCTTTAAATTAAAGAAAGTATGAACTTTGTCCATTTTTCATTCTTTATCTTTTTTTCTCCCTTTACTATGATTTATTATTTACTTCAGTTTAGGAAAGTGATTTTATTTTCGCATCATCTTTACACTTGAAAAATTTAATTAATACATAATCATCATTGTTATTATTGATTTATGTGCGAGGCAGACTAACTTCGCCAGTTACAAAGAACACGATTGTGTCCTATTGATCCGGAAAAAGACTATTTATCCTAAAGTCCTATAAATATATGCCGTTAGTTGCCTCTCTATTTTATTTTTTTAATATACTAACTCAAATTGCCTTAATTTTTCGTATGCTTTCAAAAGAGATGTCGTATCATCTTGATTACATTCAGGACATCGGAACGTTACAGACCAAAGAAAAATATTTAATTCTGTTTACTATATAAAAAGACACAAGTGATATGAGTTATGTACTGGCTTATTGGTTTAGTTTATTTTTATAATCTGTTTAAAAAATTTACCAAACATGCACTGTGTGTTTTTTACGTGAGTTGTTTTTATATGAAATTTACATTCTCATAAATACATAACAATAACAATTATATTTTATGCTATTAGATAATATCGATAATATAAATCATATGATATTATTGAATTTAGTTAAAAATTAAAATTTTAAAATACTATTTATCGTTAATTTTTTTTTTAAAAATTAGTTTCTTTTTATCTCTTTTCTATCATGATAAAAATTATACTACACAGTTCTCTCACTTATACTTTAATAGATCTTTTTTACGCGTGTTTAAATTACTTAAATTTATTTTTTTAATACTTTCTGCATCACACCAAATAAAATGTTAACATGTTCATAAATAAAACACAAATTATATAGAAGGGGAAAGAAGAAATAAAATATTATTTTAAAGAAAGGAAAAGATAAATGAAGCTTTGAAGACTGAGTTTAATCATAGGCATCGTTCAGTGTTTTTCCTTTCCATCCATACAAGGATTCCCTCTTTCACTATCCTGTACTCGATTGGCAAGAGGATAGATTATTGAAGAAGATCAGATTTGGGGTGAAGAATCACTTGAGAATCACTTGACGGGTGTGATATCCTTCTCGAACAGAAAATGGCAGAAGAGAATCAACATATAAAATTGACAACTTCGGACAATGATGAAAAGAAGATCATTCGTAGGGAAGTTGAAAAACAAAGGAGGACCCAAATGGCTATTCTATGTGCATCACTCCGCTCTTCGCTCCCCTTTGAACTCATCAAGGTCTTCAATTAACTTTTATATTTTCCTTTTATTACCAACACGTGATATTGTTGCAGTTCTCATAACAGCTTAATTTTCCAACATATATCTGTTCTCGTTAAATAGTGGCTTCTAGTTATACTTGTATGCTAAAGATATGCAATACAAAAAATGGAATTTGGTATTAGATCGATGTGTTTAATCTTCAAGTTGGGTTCCAGGGAAAGCGTTCGGCATCAGATCACATTGGCGAGGCGGTAAATTATATCCATTTTTTAAAGCAAAAGATTGATGCACTCGAAATCAAGAGAGATAGGCTCAAACAGATGATTAATCCATCAAGTTTAGTTGAAACTGGAACTGGAACTGAACCTCATGGTTCAGGTGCTTTAGTGAAGTGTGTCAATATCAGCCACATTCCATGGGGCGTGGAAATTGCCATATGTATTGGTTTGGAGGAGGGCAGTTCACGTTTATCAGTGTTAATGGAAATTCTGCTTCAAGAAGGATGTGATGTTGTTAGCTGTTTTTCGACCCATACTAATGGAAGGATATTTCATACTATAAAGACAGAGGTACCTAACTAATTAAGCTGCTCTTGTGCCTGCTAGTGCTCCGGGGGTATATTAACTCCCAATATATATACATACTAACAGTCATTTAATTTGTTTGGCATGCTTCAATTACGCTTTGTCTAATAAATATATTAAACCATTCATATCAATATTAAAAGTAGACGTACACCAATAATAAATAATGTATTATTCTAACATGATGTAATGCACCAATGTTAGATATCTATAAATTGATTTATTGCTTACACTATATATTGAGACTGTTTGTTTAGTGTAGACTTATTATATCTGTATTAATAGCAGTTAGTGTACATATCATATTGTTAGTTTCATTAATTTCTATTTGACAAAGTCCGTACCAATAGAACAATTCTAACAGGTAATTGGTCGTTAATGTAGAGAGAATTTATTTGTAGTGAGATTAAAGTTTGGACAATTACATTTATAAGTGCATTCAAAGTTTTATGAGTATATTATTGTTGAATAGGTGGAGAACTTGACAAGCCTTGATTTTGCTGCCTTGCAACACAAACTGGATCATGCTATCTTGTTATAAAGGTAATTATGCCGGTTGAGAGGACCACGTATAATTTGTTATTAGGACTATGATAAGTCTCAACTTAACTTTAATCTATATGTACTTGTTAGTACTTTAAAAATAAATTTCTCCCCAAAATGAAGTCAATGTGTGATCAGGACTATGATTAGGACTCTCAACTTGCCTTTATTAATTTAAATTTGAAGCTAGTGCTTGATGTTTATTGCTTTACCCTCATATGCCCATGCTTTCAATCTCACTTACCTAGTTGAAAGGTAAGGAACTTTGGATTTACAAGGATTGTTTCACTATCTGTTCATCAATTAATTGGTTTTAGTAATAACTACGTTATATATATCATGAAATTTAACGAAGTTATGTTGGAGTTTAAAGCAGTATATAAGTCTCACATACATATATCGATGGTTTAAACTGCTAGAAAAGTATACATGCAAGAGAAAGAGAAAAATATGACACAAGTTTCAAAGTTGAACCAACATTGGTAACTTCAATTCTCGATCGAATTTTCTAAATTATAAAATAGAAATCATTTACTTTAGTTATTAATGCCAATGAAAAATGAAATGAAAAATGTTGAAGTAAACGATGACATTACAAATTTAAGACCCAAATAAGAGTTTACAAAAAAAATTAAAATTAAATGACCGATGTTTAAGTAAAAGTGTATCCCAGAAGAACATAGGTAGGGAAAGATAAAACAAACCTGGTCTCCAGATACTTCGATTATTTATGGGAGAAGTTGTGATGCACTTAGTGGACATCGATTTCCTTGATGATTTGCTTTAATGGAAGGGAATATTTTGTTACAACAGTTGAATATATAAGGCTGTCACTTATCATGCAATATGTTGTTTAGTTTGGTCGATCAAGTGATGACTAATTGGTTAGTGCGATAAGGAGAGTTTAGACACTATGACAACTTGATCGATATAATGGTTAATGGCTTGATATCTAGTTGCTATGTAAGGTGCTAAGGAGAGTATCTGGCAGGTCCCTTATTAACACAGTTCAATCTTCAGGATTAATGAAGAGTGAAAATTGAAGTTTTTATATTACTTATCATCGTTTTTACTCCCTAGCTTTTTAATTTTTGTACATTCCCTTCTAAGCACACACAAATAGAGGAACAGTGAGTTCAAACAGTTTATTAATTTGGATCAAAAGTAAATTTGGAAGAAAAGAATACGAAGGAGATGTAAATAAAAATAAATTAAATTATCTCGATGAATCATTTATAAATTTATAATTTATTGATTTAGTTGATAAATTATCAAAAACTATGTAATGAAAAAAATAAAAAATATTTTTTAAAAAGTTATTTGGAGTAGTTTTTAACTTTTTAAAGCTACTACCGATAATTATTTTTCATTTTTATCCTTCTAAAACATATAAGGGAAAGACTTATTTTTTTATTGTCAAATTATATAACTAATCGGTTGATGATAAATAAAAAAAGATAATTGATTAGTTGACAATAATTAAATATTTAATTAATTGATTTATAAAAAATGTTAATTAAATAAATAGTAAATAAAATAAATAATATTCAACCTTAATATTATACTAATTTAATATTCAATATTTTTTAATTATTTAATATATTTCAATTAGTTATATTATACAATGAATTTTATCAAATAACTTTAATTTAATCAATCAAGTTTACAAACATAAGTTATAAACATACGAATTTCAACTAATTTTTAAAATAAAGCCTAAGACATTTACCTAGAACACAATATTTCAACGTAAACAAAAATCATAAACTCCTTTTGAAATTTTTTTTCCTATGTTCTATAAGTATAAACTGAATAGAATTCGAATCATAAGTTTACAAGAACAAAATGTTCTACGAGTCACTCAAAACCGTGCATTAGTATATATGTGTATTTTGATTGACAGATAGATCCTTATGTACAAGGATTTTATTTATTTATTTGTGGGTACCGATTTGATTTAAAAGAATCAACGTGCTTCCATATAGCAGCTCTCACTCCAGTTATAAATGCATTTTACAAAAATTGATGTTTTTAGTGTTCACAAACCCAATTGGATGTAACTCAATCACAATCTTAAAGAAAAACTTACTATAATAAAAATAGTTAAATTATTTTGTATATGATTTTTTTTATTAATTATAATACTTGTCGTTAAAAGATATTAAATAAATTTATATTTTAAATTCATTAAATATGTTTATATTTTTGTTTTGTGTTTTTATAAAATAATAAAAGGATTTATAAGAAAAAATATATATTTTTTATTTAATACTATTACTCTTCAAATATTACCTCCCTGTTAATTACTTGGCTACTATTACATAATTTGTATTTTGTGTGCGTTTAACAATGGAAATTTGACTTGACATTATATTCTTGGTTTTTCTTTTGTTATTGAAATTTCCATTTTCACGTAGGCTTTACAGCTATGATGGTTGACCGAACAAAGAAGTAGATATATCTATACCGCCGTTAAGGCAACAGTGAAAAGCACGTTTTGCATGATGTGCAATTAGAAAATGTTATCCAAGCAACAAATTTGGACTTCTAATTTTAAAATATATTTTTTAGCGGTGTACATATAAAAAATAATATTGAATTAAGTATTTTTTTTCTTTTTTATAAAAGTATTAATTTTTAATTAAATTATAAAAAAATAATATATTTTAGTTCTCATCAAAATTTTAAAATATATTATGTTTTTATAAAAATTACAAAAATAAAATTTAGCCAAAGACTAAAATTAAAATTTTTGTTGTTGTAAAGACTGAAAATATAATGCATGGAATTAATGAAATATTACTTAACAATAATTTAGGATAATAATCAATAAGATCGAAGGAGAGTATTATAGTTCTTGTCTTTATATTTGTATTTTAAAAAAGTATTTATACCCATTTTCATATTCAGTAAATACTCAAATTCCAATGCTCGTATATATTATTTACAATTATTAATAAAATGTATTTTTTAGAGTATTTTATGGATTAATAAAATATAACATTATTATAAAAATATATATTTTTAAAATATTTAAATAAAATAAAAAAATTATAAATAGATTTTTAAAAAATATTTGTAATTATATATTCATATTTAGTTTTAATTATACCTAACAACAATTGGAGTTCAAGACTTCAAGTAACTTTTCGAACAATGGTGAACTATACAGTGTGTGGGATTTAGGCATATAATAATTTCTTTATTGAAGGGAAAAAGGTAAATAATTTTTAAGATATTATAATATAATTTTTTATATCATTGATAATTAAAAAAAATACTAAAATGTTAATTTTAAAATAATTATTACAAAAATCAACATTTTCCATTGATACCATAATTCATGACTAATTGGTAATATAACCTTTTTTATACTATTAATATATTTTAATTCATTTTTAAAATATTTTTATATTTTTAGTTATTTTTATTTTTACTTTCCTTTTTTTTTTTTTTATCATATTACATATCTTCTTTTGTGAAAGGAACATCATTCTTACACAAACTATTCATGGGATTCACAGTTTTGTTACAAATTCCTTTTTGTTTAGTATGGCACCTCTGTGGTATTCTAACTAAAAATAGTGATTTTACATAAAATCAACAAAACAATGGACAGTTTAACACCGGCAATGTTAACTGTCTCTTTAATACCCGTACTACAACACACAACTTTTCATCTATATTATGTACATATCTTATTTTATCAAAAGAAAGTAACTGGCATATAAATATTTTCGCTTTATACATACATCACGTGTGTTGTTTAAATACATGTTGAAAAATGATGCCGAGAAAAAGAAAATGAGAAGATAAAGAATTAACTAAACTGCAAGCCACCATAGTTTAGAAAATAACGAGGATGAGGTAAGAATAAAAATTTAACTTCATAAATTAAAATCTTGGTAATTAGAGTATCAATAGGGTCAACAAGAAAAACAAATTAAATGACTTAAGTTATGAAGTAAATATTTCATGTACCTCGTGTAATAATAATACTGCAAACACTGTATATGGATTTTTTTTTCATTCTGTTCAATAAAGGAGACAATTTGTAGCCACCTTATATGCTTGGAATAATTTCAAGGTTTGGATTCGATTCACAACGTACCAACCGACAAAATCATTTTAGAATTGTTTAAATTAAATTTGGGTAAGTAAATCCATACCAATTTCAAATAGATTGATAAAATTTGATTTTAACTAGTATGATTAATATATCAATATTTGTTTGATAAATTTCGCATTCTCTTTTCTTAATTTTAAACATTGAAAAAAAAAAAAGGATAGTCGACAACAAAAGTAGACCAAACACCATGTCCCACGATAACATTAATTTATAAACAAAAAGACAAAAGCAAAAGAAATAGAAACGAGCATTGATATGGCAGGTGTGTGATGGATTCTTATCTTATACTAGAGAGGATTTGGGGATCCTACCATATATCAGTCAAATGGGAAGTGATCTGAAACCCTAACAACCAAATATACTTCGATTTTCTTGTACTAGTATATCTTCTGAGCTCAAAGCAGATTGCGATGAACCCTTTACACCCAAGTGATGAGTTGTACTTTCCGATTTCATCTGCTAATTATTATTCCCTACCAATCCAAACAACCCCAGAAGATCAGATCTTGAATGATCCTGTGATAGATGGCAGTAGTGCTCTAATGCCTTTTACAAGTCAAAGGGGAATTAAGGGCAAGCAGCGAGAAAAGTTACCTGATTGGGGAACAAAAGATTACAAGATTACCGCCATAGATGAAAACAAGAAGCATATGCATAGGGAGATCGAAAAACAAAGAAGACAAGAAATGGCCAAGCTATGCACCACCTTTAGATCTCTTCTTCCTTTAGAATATATTAAGGTAAACCCCATAGACACACATGTAAGTTAAGCTATATATTATCATTGCATTACAATATTTTGAATATATATATATCTTGATGACCATCATCAGGGAAAACGCTCAATTTCTGATCACATGCACGAGGGTACGAAATATATCAAGTACCTTCAAAATAAGGTGAAACAGTTGCAAGCCAAGAAGGATGAGTTAATGAAGTTGTCTAATTTAAGTCCTTTTGGCACTGATACTGGAAACTTTACTACTCATTCTCCAATACATGTCATTGTTCATCCTTGTCCAGGAGGTGTTCAGATTAAGTGTAGTTATAGCTTCAGGAAATATGTGTTTACTTTATCAAGTGTGCTAGACATAGTGGTTAAAGAAGGGCTTGATGTGGTCAACTGTACTTCCATTAAAACAGAAGATGGCAGGTTCATACACACTGTCCGATCAGAGGTACCATATATATATATATATATATATATATAAGATTAATTAATTGCTTATTGTCACTGAGAATGTAGTACTAATGATGTCTGTAGTTTAATTTTTTTAATATTATTGATATCTTTTTATAATCTTCACTTTGAAGGATCCACATATGATGACAGGGAGTAATTACACTGAACTGCAAAGAAATCTTATCGAAGCAATATCATCTTCAGGTAATGCTATATGATTTTTACAAGATTTTCATGTTTCTTTTATATTTGGTTTTGTCTGAAGGTTTATATCATCATTTGTTGCAATTGTAGGTTTGGAGGAGAGGCTGTCGGAACCTGAAAACTGATGATATCTTGAGAAAGGTGTATTGTGTGGTGAAATTTCTGATCTCATAGACTAATAACTTTAATCATTTGTACATGTTATTGTTCCAATAGATGTTATCTGCCATTGTACACTGGTGTAGTTAGTCTAAAGTGAATCCAGTTGAAAGATTTTTAAGTACATAATGGTCATGCAGTATTCCACGAGCTCATTGATCTTTGTCATGCATGTTTTGCATTCACTTTCTGATTTCTGAATTCAATATTTTTTAAAAGCACATTGTAAATAGCTAGTTGATAACATATACGGCGGCACTTATCAATTTGATTGATCAGTATCAGTGACGACAATAATTGGAATACTACAGCAACTCAATGAACTGTTATAATTAAGTAGTTTAATTATAGGAAGGAATGTAAATAGAATCTCAATGAAGTTGTTAGGAATTTAGGGTGCCTGTGTTGCTATAGTAGAAACCGAAGGAATGGCATTATTAAATTTTGCTATCCATTTCATTCCTTCCTAGCAACTGCGCCTTTGATCTTTATGACAAAAATTGAATTGGGGAAACGAATGGATATGTCTATTCACTGCTTTTTGTTTTTTGTCTTGGCATATTTCTGTAGCGCAGAGTTCTGACATCAAACTTCAGGTTGTTGATTTCTTCTTACTTAGTAGCATTTTGCTACAATCACATATTTGAACTTCATCTCATCGTATCAAAATTTCATATTCATTCAGTACACACTGATCTAAAAGCAAAAGAAGAGCAGATTCAACCTTATAGCCTATTAAATAGTGATACACAGTGACAAAACTTAATTAAATAATTACAAATATTTTTTAATTAAAATTTTATCTTATAAACCATGCATGTAATAAAAGTTAATATTAAAAGTTGACATGAATTATTAAGACAAAACTTTAACCTTAATCTAAAATAGTACAATAATATCGATAATATTACATTTAAATTTTGTCTTTAGTCTAGACCATCGAGGAGCAATACTGATAGGAAGTAAATGAAAGTTAATTTTAATTGTACAATAACATCACCGTAGAAGGAAGGTTTAGGGCGTGACTTGAATATAGTATGTCAGCCCACGAACATGTTGCGAGTAATATTTACAGTTTGCGCAATACCTACCATATTAGTATGCTATAGCTATTTATTTTGTGGAACATTTGGTGTTGAGTTCGAGAATTTATGCTTAGAAAGTATCAATCTAAACAACATCTTTATGTTTATCAAATGAATTGAGTGTTAGAAGATGAAAAGATAATCAGTGCCTACCTAAGCATTTTTCATATATATATAACTGTTGCATAAGAAAGTTAACTTATGGTCTTATTGAAGTTTTGCCTTTAGAGATTAAGCTCCTAATTAAGGCTAAACAATTGATTCTATAGATCCATGTTGAAAAGGTCAGGGCCAAAATAAAATACCTCTGTAAGAGAACAATCATGTATATTCTTTTCATTTAATTAAAATGTCTTGTAGGTCTTTCAATCTAAGTTCCCAACATAAGAGTAAATAGGTATACAAATGTTACTAATGCTTTACCATTGCAGAAACAGGCATTGATTACAGCTCAAGTTTATTAGAAATTTAATTAATAAAATGCAGATCCATAACAAAAAACTTAAGTAACTTAAATTGAAACAGAATTAGAAACACGTACATCTTAGCTATTACATATAATGAATTAAAATATTCCCAACATACAGAAGTCACTATCTCGAACTGTTGAGGCTTGGATTACATGGTATACATACAAACACAACACAAGCTCTAAATATTTAGCGTATTTCCAAATTTATCATTGTTTGGAAATATATCGATGTTACGTGTGGCAGTTGTAGTAAAATTAATCAAGTACACCATATGACGTCAAAAAAATAGTTAAGTAAACTATATATCTGGGCACCAATGAGTCAAGTTAATATATTATAACAAAATGTGTTTCGACCTTTTCATTTGGCACCTACACAATTTAAAATTATTCCAAACCAACTACATCGAGTGATTATTAATGGATCGGGGTCCATTTTGCATCAAACAGCTTGAGTTTGATCCAGTCGTTAAACTAAACAGTATCCCCCTCATTCAGCTATTATATTATGCAATGAATTCCATATCCTAAGATGGATTTGTAACCACCGAGCATAAACAAATCAACATTATGTTATAAGGGGAGCGAAGATATGACAACTAAGCTAATCTTGGTGGTAATGCCTCTTTAGAGACTTCTCTGACAGCATTTGCAATATTTTATAAGTACTAGCTTGCTATTAAAGCATCTATAGATATACATTATACATTCAGGTATTAACACCACGCACGGTTAGCATATTGCTTTCTATCACATGATCTTATCCAAATCTCCCTCATTTAGTTTGGGAAGAATAATGGAGAAATTGATACTTACCCATTCAAACCCTAATATTCGAATAGTGAACTTAATTTCTTTCCATAATTAAATTTCAGGCTCATTGCTGTGCATCATTGCAAAAATGGCACAACTACGTCATTTTACAACAACTTAATTTTCCTAAAAGACAACAATAACTTGATAATTTAAAGAAAAATAAATTTTTTTCAATTGTTTATTATTATTATTATTATTATTATTTTGCAATTTCTTGTAGTCTTAGGATAATTAGTTAATGTATTTTCAATTTTGTCCCCCTCAATGACCTACTTAATTAATTGGAGTTTTATACTTAATGGTTGTCAGCTTTAGGTATACTACTCCAGAATTTGTAATAATAATAATATTTTTGAGTTATTAATATAAATTATGAATTTTTATGTAAATGTATGAGTATATGTGTGAACACGTATATATATATAATTGCAGATGTTGATTGCGTATTGGAAGATTGTATGTAGTTAGATTGATTGAATATGTAGACTAAATATGTGCTTTAGAGACATTCTCGCTGTAGTAAGAGGATTTTTGCTGTAGCGAGAGTGTCATCGGCGAAGGGGTGCAATTGTTACGTTCTTGCTATAGCGAGAAGGTAACAGAGAGGAGTGCAATTCTGGGTGTAGTTTCGGTGTAGCGAGAAGGTCTCGCTGTAGCGAGATTCTAGAGTGCAGTTTCTGCTAAGATTTTCGCTGTAGTGAAAGAGTGTGTCGTGACCAAAAGGGTTTAGGGTTCGAAAAACGCATTTCTCTTCATCTCTCTTTTGATTCTTTCAATTCTCAACCCTATTTCATTGATTAAATTGCCTCTAAAGCCGTTTGGAAGCTAGATTGAAGGTTGTAATCACGTTTGGAGCATTTGAAGGTAAGTGTGAGGGCTAGGGTTTATGTTTTTCCATCCTTTCTCGATTCCTTTCAGTTTCTCATGGATTTCCTCCATGTATTTAGGCCGAGATACTGTGTGGGAGATGTTTTCTACCTTTAGATTGTATTAGGTCTTTGATTCGAGGTAAGAAGAGACTCTACCCTATCTCTTTTTGTCTTTAAATCGGTTTATATTGATAGATAATGTAATGTGGTTAAGATAGAATGTAGGAAGATATATATTTAATGAGAATGGCTTGGTTGTAATTGTATTGTGATAAAAATCTCGTGTGGAATATGATTTGGTAGTGATTGGATGATGTGTATGATGGTATGATTTGATTATAATTGTTTGTAATGTGAATTTGGTGTATAACATAATGTTAATGAATATTAGACGTGTATGTGATGAAATGTTTGAGGATAGTGTCATTGAACGTGGGTATACGTGTCGTGTGTAAGTGTGAATACTATGACGTGATTGAAAATGTGGATAATTGAATGTGATTATATGCCATTTGGTAATGATGAACAATGTGGAATGGTTGAATATATGTGGAAATGACATGTCAATTGTGATTGTGTGTGAATATGTGAAAAACTATGAATGGTTCAACAATACACTAGGGATGTGGAAGATTGGAGTAGTAAAAATACTTTGGAGAAGAGAGGGCGGTGGTGATACCAACAGTGGGTACACCATAGGCCACACACTCTTCTTCTGACTCGGCTTCTGACTAACACTTTTGCCAAAGAGCCTATGACCACACACATTGTATCCGTGAGGCAAGGATTATTCGGCGACCATCTATGGTATGAAACTGAATAAATCCCTAAGATTGAGAGCATCAAGAATCTGTGATCATAGTGCCACAATGAGCGTGACTAGCATGCAATGGGCGCACGTGGGTATGAATTGTTTGATGGTGCAGTAAACGCACCTGAGTGTGAATGAGAATGAAATTATTGTTTTGTGTTGTGTGATGAATGATTTATATTATGTTGAAAATGTGTAGAAATATGCCAGGTGAGTCCCTATGCTTGTAGATACTTGATAGTGTAGAATACTCACTCTCATGACGATCAATACTAGACTCAGTGAAGGGATGAATGACATTATTATAGGACTTAGAATATTTATTTTGTTTTAAAACTGAAATGTATTAATTAAGTCTTGTAGCGATTATTTGACTGAAAATGTAATCTATCCTTATTTTTGAAATATTTTGCTGAACTATGCCTTGAAAATTTGTTTGAATGAAAAAAATTTATTATTTCTATTTTTTATAATATTTATTTATTTTAAAAATTAAATTTAAGATATTACATTAGGTACGTTGATATGACCTCAACTTCGACAGGACAAATGTTCGTCCCAAATTGACAATCTTATCGTTACAGTTAAAATAATTTTATGACATAACTTTTATTATCATGTTTTTTTAATTCTTATTTCTTTTTCTTTTAAGCTCTATTATAATTGTTAAAATCACAAAAATAGTTTCTCATCCTAATAATGTACACCACGAGCTCAGGACCACACAAATAATGAAGAAGTGTGCAGTTGCACCAAATAACTGCCACTGTTGATAGCATTGGATTGAACATTAGCCGCTTCTTACATCTTTAGAATGGACAAATTCTTTTCTTAAATCCAAAGATGTTACCTATTTTGTTTAAGTATGCATTTTGAGTGAATTTTAAACAATTAAAAATATAAGTCTAGCTAA